ATGCAAGAGGAGGAGAGTTTAGTGTCGGAGGTCGTGGATGAGTCTCCTCCGTCATCCATTTTTATTTAGAGGAGGAGAGCAGAAGCTTGGTTTGGTGTAGAAGGCTTACAGCCGTACATGTTTGAGCCCTTGCCTTGCAACGCTGCCAGTTCTGTTAGCTCTACGCCTGCTGAAGACACAGACATCCATCCCCGTGAACACTGGGACAGAACTCAATGGAAAAGGAAATTATTCTGATTTGTTATTTCAACCTTTGCCTATATTAGCTGCGACATATGAATCAAGATGCTATGACCGAAAACATTTGATTGACAGATGACCGTTGATATATGATATATGATATATGATAATGGCCGAATTTAGGTGTTCAGGCTGACGTATAACTAACTGGCCTGCAGAAGATAACGAGAAAAAAACACAGATTTTAAGACATGATTTTTAAAAAAAAGAAATTTTCTAACTTTTGGGACAATCGTCTGATAAAAAGTACATTTATACACATGTTTAAGCCAGAATGATTTTACATTTAAATATGACTTCCCTACAACTTTAAAGGTTGAATTAAAAAGATCCTTTTTCGACATTATTCTTGGACAGCTACTTTCCTGCAGTGCAGCTAACTCACTAAGGTAAAATTATGTGAAAAGTTTCATTGATATTCTAGATAGCATGGTAACAAACATTGGTTTCAGGGTGTGTGTGTATACCCTCTTCTGCCAGCTCGGAGATGTGCATCTCTATGTCATTGATGCCATTGGACTCCAAATAACTCCACAGCTGAAATACTGTCACAATCTGGCCATCCCTGGGGCTTCGTCTCGGTAACCTCTGGTCCAAAATCCGCTCCACCAGGCACCAAATCACTGAAAAAGCAAACATTTATTAACCACTCATACCAAAGCATAGAGACAACAGAAGGCATTTTCCACCTTCTCTGGGTTCTACCTGCATCAGCCCGCTCATGTAGCACGCTGGAGTACGAAGAAGACAGCGTAGAGAGAAGGTTGTCAACAGAGACGCAGTACACAGTGCCTTGGTCTGCACACCGCTCCCAGAGACCCAAGGCTCCAAAGCACTGGCCCAGCTCTGGGATCACTGCAACACAGGAACCAGCAGAGGGACAGCTTAACCACTGCATTGGGCGGAGGTTTAACTGCATATAGTAGATTAGTTCAGTTTTAGAGGCAAAACCAGGACTGCCTCATACAGCCAGCTGGAAGTTCTGCTGGAAAGCTGCACCATTTTCCAATTCATGTAGATATGTAATCAAAGCAAAACTCACAGAAATAGAATTCCAAAAAAAGTAAAAAAAAACAACAACAATCCACTGGACTTTTTTCCCAAGTTTGGAGAGGTTTCTCTTCCCATCCAGGAACCTTTTTGAATTCAGAAA